ATGCCATATGCCCCAGGAGCCTCTGAAATAGTTTCAGTGGGACCACTATTTTACTGTCGAGCTCTCTCAGACAGTACAGCATCAGCTGAGCGCGCTCTCCGGAGAGGCGCGCTGCCATGGTGACCGAGTCCAGCTCCAGCCCGAGAGAAGAGATCCTCTGCACGGGGGCGAGTTTGCTCTTTTCTCGGTTGACCTGAAACCCCCACAGGTGGAAGTGCCAGAGCACTTTGTCTCTGTGCATAATCAACTCTGTGCATAATCAAGAGAGGGCAAAATTCAGCCAGTCGTAAAGAAATTGAGTATGCAGATGCCCGCGAGCCGAAGGGGCGCTGAGGCACCCTCCGCGGGCTTGGTGAGGACCCGCGGAGACAGAGAGAGCCCGAAGGGGAGGGCTTTGTATTGCCAAGCTCGACCTTCAAACGCAAACCGCAGAACTGTCGGTGGCGAGGAAGAGTGGAGACATGGAAATACGCGTCCATCAGGTCTAATGCTGCAGACCAACCCAGAGGACGAACGCACCGGAGGATGCGCTTCTGCGTGAGCATTCTGAACGGCAGCTTGTGCAGGCAGCGGTTCAAAACGCGCTGATCTAGGATTGGCCGTGACCCACCGCTCTTTTTGGGCACGATGAAGCGTGGGCTGTAAAACCCGCTCTCCATCTCGGCTGGAGGGAGCGGCTCGATTGCATCCTTCGCCAGGAGGACAGCAATCTCCTCTCACAAGACAGGGGCGGACAGAGGGCTGACCCTGGTGAATACACACCCGTGACTTGGGGGGCCGTTTCGCGAACTGAATCGCATAGCCGAGTCTGATTGTGCGTATGAGCCACCGCGAAGAGCTGGCCCGCGCTAACCAGGCAGGCAGAGCTCTCGCTAATGGACTCATCGCTACAATCGCTGACGTACCAGCAGTGGGGCAGCGCGGAGTGGGTGTGCTGATCCGGGAAGCTCGCGGGTCCCACGGAAAAGCTGGAGGTGAGATATTTGCTCTCACTCCAAACCCGAGCTCCGGAGGGGAGGCTCGAGGGGTGGGAGAAAGGAGACCGTCCTCCCAGCGCTCGTGAGCCACTGGCGAAACGCACCGAATCTGCAAGCTAGAAAGTATAGCGTCCCAGACTGGCAGATTTCGGGCTGTCACATCTGGGGAAGTGAAAAGTGCCCTTTCATAATGTTTTCATGGCAGTAAAAAGTGCCGTTGAAAATGGGGCCCCGCCCTCCAGCGGGGAAAGAGCAAGTTCCCTCTTCTCCAGATGGCCTGTCCCAGGGGCGCTTCGCGGTCCGTTGCCGGACTTAGCGGCGTTCTGGGCAGGGGGGCTGCCTGCTTCCGAGGTGCCCGACGCGCTCGCTTCGCCAGAGGCGTGTGCGGGGGCGGAGCAGCTCTCGTAGGCGGGCGCCTTCGGCGAGGAGCAGGTATGAATGGCACGGCGGGCGGAGCGGGCTACAGACAGCCGATAAGACATCACCCACCAACTGCTCTCTCACCGCCTTGAATTCCTGGGTGAATTCACAGACAGTGTCGCCGAACCTGGCTGGGGATATGGGGAAGTCAAGAAAGCGGACTTTGTCGACTTTGCGCATATCAGCCAGGGGTGGCGCTCCTGGACCACTAATGTGGACATCGTCCTCCCCAACGCACACGCAGCGGACTCAGTAGTCCGAAGAGCTAAGTCGGCGGCGGTGCGAAGCTCGTAAGCCTGGGTTGGACCCACCCTCGTGCAGCTCGGCCAGCGCCTGCGCTTGGTAGCGCTGGTAGGTGGCTATCGCATGCAAGGCGGAAGCAGCCTGGCCCGCAGCTATGTAAGCTCTAGCTCCGAGGGAGGTAGATAACTTACAGGCTTTGGATGGGAGACGAGGCGGACCCCGCCAAGAAGAGGCGCCGCGCGGATTTACCGCCATCGCGCACTCAACCTGAGGAATCGCCACATACCCCCTGGCTGTTTCACCGTCAAGAGTGGTTAGGGTGGAGGAACACGCAGCACGAGCAGAAAAAAGTGCTTTACAAGACCGCGTGAGCCTACTGTGCACCTCCGGGAAGAAGGGAACGCCCCTCTAGTCGGTCCGGCCGCGGAGCTGGGGGATAAACCATCTCCAACCCACGGCCGAAGCAGCCCGGGAAAGCACGGCTAACATGTCCGTTTCAGGATCCGTAGTGACAGCGCTCACCAGCCCGAAGGGGGCGAGCGGGTCTGGATCATCATCGGACAATGAAAGCCCACCCTCCGATGCCGCGGTGGACATCTGGTCTCCGGTGTCATCGGGCGTAAGGGCTACCATCTGTTAGACGGATCGCTTCCCCCGCCCGAAGCTTGGATGGAGCGCTTAGAGGAGCGGGAGGTCCGCGGGCCCGTGGGCGACGGATTATCTCTCGCTGAAACCCTCAGATCTGCCCGAGTGCCCGCTGCAGAGCAGGGGACAACTGGGGTGGTTCGCCCTTTTGCAAAGGCTAACCGCGATCTTGCGCAACAGTCATGGCATCGCAATGACGACATGAACTGCCCGCGAGCAGCGCATTAACATGCTGGACCCCCAGACATGCAACGCAGTGCCCGCGCCCATCATCCGAGGACAGGAAACCACCGCATCCAGAAACGCACAGTCGGAGCGCCGTCCTGATAAGGACGTGCTGCACGACTGTGTTGCTCTTTCTGTGAAGTTTGCAACTTTATACGCACCGCTCTGGAGGACCGGACCCAAAGAACGCCAGGCAAGGGAGAAACCCAGCTCGACCGTCTGCCACTGCGTGTACACACTCTGGACCGGGAGAATGCTCTCGTTCGCTCAGAATCGCTGGTCACAGCAGGAGGAACCCTCATCGACTCGATCAGAAAGTCTCTGAAGCGAAAAGGATAGCGTCTGCTGGCGCCAGGTGAGCTTATATACTCAGTTGATTGCTTATGCCGCTCACCTGCGCAGGCTTGCGCTGCCAATTCATTCTTAATTGGCCCGTTCAATACTCTTTCAGACGAGTAGCTTCTGAACCGAACCTCCCAATGCGTGGATTTTACAATCAAATCCACTTATAGTGCTGAAGTTCCCCCCGAAGGGGAACTGTACAGCATTACATTATCTGTTTATACACACAGGCCTGTGTGTTTCATTCATCATATTCATTTATTCGCCTACCCACTGTTGGCATCGTGCATCGAATGATCTCGCCACTAACGGAGGGATGACCCTGCGCAGTGAGCGCACCCATCCATAATATAAAACCACAGAAATTCTCTGGTAATAACTGTAAAGCGGCGCTGCACAGGGACTGGGTGACAAAAAAAAAATAGCCTAGTTTTTGCTTTCACTCACCCCAAAAAAATGCTGTTTGCACGATTTGATTAATATCAAAATATAATAATATTTTAAACCTCCTCCGGTGTTTATTGTTTTTAAAAAAAATATCTAAAATATTTTCTTCAGAGTGGCCTTTGTAAAATGAAAGTTTAATATGGCTTTAAAACAGTTTGACCTAAATTGTTATAATTAGCTTTTGTTTGTTTTATATTGGTTTATTTATTTAATGTGGTTTTATTATATCTGATATTTGTAATTCTTTAAATTATTTCAATATAGCCTAGTTTAGGCTATTTTATCAAGATATGACACTATTGTTTTGAGTCTACAAAAGTGGACATGTCATTTGTAAAGTTTCGTATCTTTCTGTTGTATTCATAATCGTGTATAACCTCTAAAATAAAAAGAAAAAAGAGAGAAACCCAGCCGCTCGCGGCATCATGGGCACATGTCATGCACAAACACCCCTTTTAAACTTAACAAAAACTCTCGACAATCTGTACTGGCTGCTGTGTCTGTAATTTGGTGCAAAGATTATTATGGGTTATTGAGGAGGAGGGCGCAGCAATGTCACTAATGTATTTTATGCAACAGCCTTACATTTAAAAGGGAAACATAAGGGCGGTCATAAGCAAAAATCTGTTTTCTTTCCCTTATTTATTTATTTATTTATTTATTTGTTTGACGCATGTACTCGTCTGCGATCAGAAAACTAGTGTAATGACGGTAAGTCATCTTTACCAGACTCGAGCAAAGTCCGCCTCTCCTTTCACTCCACCCCGAAGCCCCAGCTGGCCCTCTTTGACCCAAGGTATTTGGCGGGCCGAAAAAGGCTGGCCGCTGGCCCCGAGAAAGCCCCGCTTTGGCCCGATCAAGCCCCGGAAGTGACAGTGAAGACGCGACTGACTTTGGCTCGCCCTGGCTTGCTCGCTTTAAGCGCGATAGTGGATAATGGTGCTGATCTTTCTTTTAATAACAATCAGTGTGCAAATACTGTAAGTCACTGTAGCAGTCATCAGAATAATGACAGGAACACACCACAAAGTCTGGAATACTAAGTTTTTTTAATGCAGTAAAAGAAAATCCCTTACAGTGCCGAGAATCTCCATGTCTCAATCCCATCTCCCACAATCTGCTACAGTGTTTGAGTGGGAAGGGTGGTTCAAGTTTAAGCAATGTTTCACTCAGACATCACAATGAAACGGCTGAGGATTCTTTGGACCAAAACTTTGAGTTGACTTTCTTTTGAGAGTCAATAACTTTATACACAGTGCACTTTCAGATATAAAGCTCAGCAGGATGTTTTGATTCACTTATTACACAGCACATGAAATGCCTTTTTTTCATTTAAATCCATAAAATGGGCACTTTATAAATGCAATTTACTCCTATAAAATCAAAGCTGATTTTTCAACAACCATTATTACAATTTTTAAATGCTGTATGTTTTTTGGGGGGCAGAAAATTACAGGGAATGGTAAGGAAATGTCCCATGAAATGTTATGTTTTTAGTGAGTTTCTAATCATCTTTATGGTTCAGATTAATATATTGATGTAGTGTTAAAATCTTTCTCATTCTTTTTCAAAGTTACTCATGTTGAATCCCTGTTTGTTCCAGCTCCACTTACTGAATAGAATATTTGTGCTTAAGTTATCATTCATGACTCCAGGTGAACTGACGTTGTTTTCTATATGTTTGATTTTGTTTTATTGTAGCTTACCTTCAGGCAAATCAGGTGATGGGATGGGGAGAGAAAGCCATTGAACTGAGATCTGCCAAGACTGGGAGTCTGGAGGGAGTCTTCATGCACAAAAAGGCTCAGAAGCTCAAGTTCCTGTGTGAAAGAAACGATAAAGTAAGGACATTTTTCTTAATATGTCACATCAAAGGAAATCTCACCAAAAATTGTCCCAGAACAAAGATCACATTTTAAAGAGTCCCATTAAAAGTGTACTTTTTTGAATATGCAATGTCATGTAGATGTTTATATATGTGAAAAAGCTTAAAACATTTTAAATGTCAAAGTTTAAGGGGTGGTCCACTACAATATCATATTTTAAACTTTAGTTGATGTAAAGTGTAGCTGTGTGAACATAAACAGCATCTCTGAAAGTAATACGCTCAAAGTTCAATGCAAAGGGAGACCTTGTTTTTTTACAGAGGAAACTTAGCAAAGCCTACTATGAATGAATTTTAGGGACTACAAAAAAATACTTACGGACTTTGAGATCACAAAGCTAAGGGGCGTGGCCAGAGGCGCTGTAATTTTACAGCAGAGGGAGCTAAAATGGCGTCCTAACGCTGCTATTTCCACAGAGCTTCTTCTGTTTCTGTATTTGGGCTTCCAAAGGACACAACACAAAGACAGAAGAGCTTACAGTTCAATATTAATTATGTTCCAGAGAATTATAAAATACATAGCAAGCATGATTTAACTAAACACAGCTTCCTGAATCTCCCAGTGCTGAATTCGGTTAAAATCTCCTCAAAAAAAGGATCAACTCCAACAAGCTGTAACAAGACTCACAACCTGTAAGTGTTTTTATTTGTTAAAGTTGATCATGACATGTACAGTGTCTAGCCTTAACAGTATGTTGTTGCAAAGATGCAAACAACGGGAAATGCTGTTTGGCACCGCTAACGATTTAGCTACAAATTCATTTTTATCAGTCAAACTGCTGTAAACACACACACACTTCACCAGCGGTTGTGTGTCTCTCAATAGGCAGCTTTTGCATGTGTTTTACATCTCAGATAATGAACTCGCAAAAGACATGTGAATGATTCATATTACTTACACATGTATATTCCGAATATATGTGAAAGACGTCGTGTAACACGTTGGGTTAAAAAAATATAGGATATTAGGCTCACCTAACTCGTGTAGCAGCAGAAAATAAATCAAGGCTCACACAGGTCTCATCCCACATCTTGTGCTTTAATCTTCAGATTGTCTGTGACCAGCACCCCATGGCTGCAGGACCAGATATATCCACACCCCCTGTCCCCATCCCCTGTGGCAGTGTTGCGTCTTGTCTGTGTATTTTGTGCTTAATTGCTGGGGTTCTTTTTTTGTCTCCCTGGTTCAGTTCCACTATACGAAAATGTATATGACAAATAAGGGCCTGATTTGACATGTGCTTCTCGTATTACACGCGTCTACAGACAGTTCTCACACACACACACACACACACACACACAATGTCGATCTCTCCTAAAGTCTCTCTCAAATCTCTCTCTCTCAATACATGCTTGCTATGTATTTTATAATTCTCTGGAACATAATTAATATTGAACTGTAAACTCTTCTGTCTTTTTGTCGATTCAGAGTTCCACATGAGGTGGTTATTAAATAGCAAATAATTTAAATATTGCGAATGTAAACATTAGGTGAGGAGGTTACACTGTAACACCATGTCCTAACAACACACTACATGACGAGATTTGCAGTAAGAAGCAATCGGGCTGACACCGATTGACACCGATACACCAGATGAAACATGACAGAAATTTGAATACAGCCATTCAGAAAAGTACACTTACTGCACTCCAACGAAATGGTAAGGTTTATGATCTAATTAATACACATTAAATCTCTTTATCATTATTAAATATAGATGCTGAATCACTGATATGATTTTGCTTGCACTGAATTACAGTTCTAAAGTTTAATATCAAATGGTTTATTTTATTTTCAAGATCTGAGGTGAACTATCTGAAGCAGCTTTCAGTAGTATGGCAATTAGTGTCATGTAAATTGCCATTCAAACTTACATAATTAGCATTTAACACTAAATTAAGCATATGAGGTGTACTTGAGGTGATCATTGTCAATTTATCTGGTTGATCTACTACTAGAAATAGAAGCTGTTTCTAAAATATAAATTTCAGGTGATGGTTAAGACAAAAAATATTGAAAATATTCCTTCTATGGCGTGCCGTAGCTTTTATTTAGAACACTGTTTAAATCAGCCTTTTGGCTCGACAGTCAGACACACTCCTGTTGTTGTCATCAATCTGGCAACATGCTCTTGCGTTTGTTTTAAAACAGGTGTGCAATACCTAGTTCAACCACTGGGTGTCAAACTTACATATTGCACCTTTAACTAAATAGATAAAGAGAGGGAGAACGATGAATGCTTGAATGCTTTTGACAGAGATCATCATTTTGAATTTAACATAACCTTCTGTTTCTTTATTTTATTGCTAAGCTATAAGCTAAAATTAAATGATTTAATGAAATGTTTTAAGTGAATCAGACTTTAAATGTAAGATATGCGAGCAAATCAAGGTGGAGAAGCTCGCCTAGTGTATTCCGCATTGAACTTTATTGTGTTATAAATGGGATTATTTGTTTTTACTGTTGTAAGTTCATTGTTAAATATTAGAAACGACACCACATTAGCTAAAATGATTTCTAATATTACCATATAAATTAGGAAATTACCCATGGCAAATTTTATATGTACGGTTTGCTATACATTTGGCCCACAGCCCTTAATCAAGTTTACTTTTTGGAAAACCTCTGCTCTAGAAGAAGAAAAAAAAAAAAAAAATATATATATATATATATATATATATATATATATTATTTAATTTTTCGTTTTCACTATTTAATATAATTTCTTTTTACCCTGTGAATGTATTCATATTTTCTAAAATCTTTCCTGAGTGTTATTTCCCAGATACTTTTTTTTTCTAAACACATTTTGACATAATTCATAAGATAATAGTTTCAATAACTAATTTCTTTTGTCATTGCATGATGACAGTGCATAATATTTTACTGGTTGCCATTAAAAGCTTAATTAGATTAACTAGGCAAGACAATTGTGGTTTGTTATGTAGCCAGTCAAAAAAAAAAAAAAAAAACTATATCTATATATATAAATATATATATATAGATATATAGAATTATATTAATTATATATATATATATAATTAATTTTATATATATATATATATATATATATATATATATATATATATATATATATATATATATATAAATAATAATATATTAGGGATGTAACGGTATCAGAATTTCACGGTACGGTAATACCTCGGTATGAATGTCACGGTACGGTATTTATTGAATCATTTACAGGAAAAAACAAAACTTATGAAAATACTCCAAAAAGTGCCAAAAGTGTCAATGACATACAAATTAGTCATCTATCTGTAAGCTTTGAAACAGGAACTTCAATTTTAATAACAAAAAAATATTAAACCATGTAAAAAAATTAAGTTTCAATTTAGTATTGTAGAAAACTCGTCACATTCAACATTTAATCACTCACTCACTTAGATAGAGATGGGTTTAAAGGAAAATTATCATATAAATATAATCTGGTAAAAGCTGGTATCTCTGGGTATTTACAATATCCCCTGCAACAGAAAAAAACCCTCTCATTTGGGACTGAGGTTTCTGGGACAAGAGAGATATGACTTGGCCCATGTTGACAGCAGTGGGTAACATTGTGCATTGTCTTTCCCCCACTTGAGAGGACAAACCATGAGTGAGATAGAGATCTCATGTCTGCATCAATCTGAACAGTGTGCTGTGTTTCTGCAGTCCCCATGACTGATTATTAGTCGTATTCCCCAACTTGCAGGCATGTGCACACACAGTGCTCAACCTGTGCAGTGCACATGCCCTTTTTAGTCTTGGATAGAAAGTTCCCTTCCAAAGTGATCAAAAGTGCCCCCGCGACGCGACATATCCCCGCTTTACAGTACGCGCGCAACAACACAGCTAATCAGTACGCGCGCGACAACACCGCTGATAAGAACTCGCGCGACAACACTGCTATTCAGTACGCGCGCGGCGACAACACCCGCTTTAGGGTTTTCCAACTCTTTTTCATCCCCGCTTCTAGCAACACACTCCATTTCCGCATTACTGGATCTGTAGCGACAACAGACCGCAAGGGATTATGGCCAAGCCTGGGCTGATGGGAATTGTAGTTTCCGGTACCTCCCGTTCGCTTCATTCGCCTGAGCAAATTTTCTCAGAAGACCTATAGTTTTATCGAGTCATGCGACTACGGTAATATCGCAAAAAAATAATATTGCGGTATGACGGTATTTACAATACCGTTACATCCCTAATATATATATATATATATATATATATATATATATATATATATATATATATATATAATTAAGAGGGCTAATAATATTTTGAAGACATTACAAACTTCTACTTTCAAACTTATATACACACATAATGAGCTTTAGGTTTATATGATCTGAGAAAATTAAAGAGGTTAAAGAGTTAAAGAGGTTGTTTGTGCATTAGAAGTAATTAAAAGATTAGGAAAGTATGACATTAAAAGACTGACCTACTGAATGTGTTTCTCTGCAGGTGTTTTTCGCTTCAGTCCAGTCTGGAGGCAGCAGTCAGATCTACTTCATGACATTAGGACAGAACTCCCTCTTCAGCTGGTGATCTGTGCCTTTGATTACTCACTAAAGACTGTGTTTATATCCTACAACCAACATCCCTGCAAATAGGGTTCGACATGTAAACATTTTCATGGAAATGATACATATGTATACACGTATAATAAGAATAATACATGTAAAATACGTGATTTATTGCATTCTGTCTGACAGTGTCAGCATGTGGTCTTGTTCTGCGCTTTATTCCCAAAACAAACGCCTTGTTTTGGATTTGAACTTCTTTATTTTTGTTCATTTCAAATGTTACATGAAAAACTTGATTTTTTTTGTAGTCCTAATACTTAATTATTTTATTCTATAATAATAATAACCATGGCTGGTACACGGTTTGGTGTAAAACCGATACTAAGAGCTAGTAAATGAATGACTAACTGTTGTACTATTATACAGTCCACTGTTGTAGCATGTTGTTTTGGAGGAGAAATGGCAATATGAAGAAATGAAATGATACAATAACTGCACTTTCACCTTGACGTTTAGGGACTATTCAGGTAAATGAATTGAATAGTAAGTACTTTTCTTTATTATAACTTTAGACATGCTAAAACACACATAACTATACAATAAACATTAATATAAAGTTTTTTAACCGGTTGGTTACAAGTCTTTTGCATGCAGACTGAACATTATAGAAGTCTGAATATCATTTATTTCTATACTCTGCTGGTCAAGAAAATCGAATCTGAGAAAGTATAGATTGGTTGTGAATGGTAAAATACAACGGGCACAGAGATTTAAGTGCGTGTAGAGAAGTGTGTCTTGACGCAGGTGATGTTGGTTTCTTAGCTTATATTGAAGAACGTGAATGGAGAACAGAAAAGAACCAGGAAGTAGGAGAAGAGAAAGAGTTTTAAAGAAAGTCGTAATTCTGGAATGAAGAGTTGTGGAAAAGAGTTATAGTTGTATTTGCATCAAATGTACTCAGCACACGTGATGCAAAACTTCTGAAGCATTCCTTGAATATCAGATGAAGACAGACTGCATTGCTTTAATACAGACTTATGAAAGTTTTGCAGAACATCAGTAAAATGTTAAATATGTCCACTAGTAAATGAGCATTAAAGGGATTGTTGACCTAAAACTAAATATTTGGTAATTTACTCGCTCTCAAGTCGTTTCAAAGCTCTTTGACTTTCTTTTTTTTTTCTGTTAAACACAAAAGAAGATATTTCGAAGAATGCTGGAAACCTGTAACAATTTAGCTACATTGTAATTGTTTTTCCTGCACTGTTAGAAAAAAAGATACGCGAGCTGACACTGGGGTGGTAATTTTAGGTACAAATTTGTACCTAAAAGGTCCATATTAACACCTCAAGGAAACATATCAGTACCTAAAAAGTACAAAGGTGTTCCTCTTAAATTTTTTAGGTACTAATATATACTTTTGAGGAACCAATATGCAAGCTTTAAGTCTAACTGTGTACCTTTTGAAAAGGTACCACCACAGTGACAGCTCACGTACCTTTATTTCTGAGAGTGTACCAAATCAATGATTACAAGTTTCTAACATTCTTCAAAATAACTTATTGTGGGTTTAACAGAAAAAAGAAACTCATTAAAGTTTGGAACCACTTGAGGTTGAGTAACTACAGTGCGTAAATTTATTTATTTGCGTGAACTATCTCTTTAAAGGCATGTACAGTACGTCAAACGGAATGTTGTGGCTGTAGATCATATGAAGGATGCACTGATTTCAGGAATAGACCGTCTCAGTATATAACCTGTTCATAAAGCTGAAACAGAGGATTTTCCTTTATACAGATTTAGTTGTTTTGTATACTGAAGTACTGATTCATTGTCTTTCTGTTTGTTTTGTTTGTTTGTTTGTTTGTTTGTTTGTTTGTTTTTTGCAATATTAGGAATCTAATGCAGTAAAAAGCAGCTTGTGCAGACTTTTCAGTTCATAAACAGATAAAAAGAGGGGCTAATAATTCAGGGGGTTCAATAATTCTGACTTCAACTGTATATAAATTAGTTTTGCTTTGATTTGTTTGGTTTTGTTTGTTCTTTCTTTGGCCAGGCAGGACATGTCTATTAAGTATATTCTCAATTGTGCCTTAAAGGGTTAGTTAACCCAAAAATATTGTTTAACCCCCTGACATTTGTCTTTGAAACACATATTAAGAGAACAATCTACTTTTTTGTTTTTTGAAAATAGACTGACTTTACAGCTCACCTAGAGTTAAACCGCTGACTTTTACTATTTTTGAGTTCATTCAGCCGATCTCTGGGTCTGGTGAGAGCACTTTTAGTAGCTTAGCATAAATCACTGAAAGCGAATTGACCATTAGCATCTCGCTACCATCTCGCTTTTTAGTTTTAATTGTTGAACAAGATGCTAATCATCTAATCTGATTTATGCTAAGTTAAGCTAAATGTGGAGATTGTCTGAATGGATCAAATGAAATGGTAAAACTAAACTGTTTAAAAGTCTCATGAAACTAAAATAAAAAAATGTAGATGTTAGTATCATTATTGTTAGTTTTAAAGATGTCTATAAGCCAAGTGGGCAGCGAAACAGTGACAAAATCCACATTTAGAAGATATAAAAGTGACGTAAAAATGTAAAGCTAGTAATTTGTCACTTTCACCTAAATGGATGAATGATTTTATTCACGTCACCTCCTACTTCATTTTCTCATCAAATCATGACCAATCAAATGCTTCCTGGTATCTGACATGCCCTGCCCCTTTTTTCATTTGATGCGCTGGTGGTCGACCACTCTCACTGGCAGAGCTGTGATAAAACAAAACGCTATTAGCTGTGTTTTAAAAAAGGGGAGGGGCTACACTGTCATACACTTTCTTCGTGTTTCTGTTGAGATTGTCAAATATCGAATAAAAGATGCTCATTTCAAAGCGCTTCATGTGACCTTTAACTCTAGAGGACTTGTAAAATTCACAAAAATTTCCAAAAAAAAAAACAAAAAAAGGATATTTCCTTTAAGATATTTTAGATGGAAATGAGAGAGCTCTCTGAAGCTTTATAGACAGCAGTGCTCCCAATTAGTCCATAAAAATACCAAAAAAAGCATCCTGAAAACAGTTCATGTATCTTCAGAATATTATCAAGTTACAAGAATACTTCTGTGTGCATAAAACAAAAACTGACGACTTTATTCAACAGTTTATTCTCCTCAGTGTCAGTATAGGGTGCACGTTCATGCCCACACGCGTGACTTTCTTTGTTTTAAAGCACAAACGCATCTGAATTTTGAAACGCACCCTATAATGACACTGACAACAACGCAGAGTAATTAAGAACTTAATGATATTTTCGGCGGAACTAACCCTGTGTTCTGAATGGCATTTGGCATAATCTTAGACTTTATAAATGTAAACATCTTTCAATTGGATTCTGATTGAAAGTTCAAATATATCCACAGTTTGTTTTTGTCATGTTGGTCAAACATCAGAAGTCAGTATTCTGCTTTTTCGCTCAAGGAAATGCTAATGCTAATTTAATTAAACTCTTTTTATTTTTGTAACCGTATAATTTACCTGTACATTACTGTATATATTACTAAATGCTCTTTTATGTACAATCATCTTGCATAACAGTGCTATATCCTTTGTGTATTTGTCAAAACAACTTTTTTTTGTGGGGTTAGACAGTAACAACACAAAACTGCATATATATATATATATATATATATATATATATATATATATATATATATATATATATATATATATATATATATATATATTGTGTCATAAATGACTGATCTCAATGAATTCAGCCAAATAAATGCTTTAAAAATACTTGAACGGGTCAGCATGTCTTTAGTTGTTTTATATTATAAGGATAGTTTACTCACTATTACTCAAGGGCTTCCAAATGTTTGAGTTTCTTTATTCTTTTGAAGATATTTTGAAGAAAGCTAAAAACCATTGACTTCTATAAAAGGATTTCAACATATTTCAAAATAACTTCTTTTGTGTCTTTTGAGACAGAAAGAAACTCAAACCGAAAAAATCAGGATTCTGAAAGGGTTTGAATCTGAATTAAAGGGACAGTGCACTTCAAAATGAAAACTCACTCAAGTGGTTCAAAACAGATATGAACTTATTCTGTTTAACACAAAACACCATTTACAGTGCATCCGGAAAGTATTCATAGCGCTTCACTTTTTCCACATTTTGTTTATGTTACAGCCTTATTCCAAAATGGATTAAATTCGTTTATTTCTTCAGAATTCTACACACAATACCCCATAATGACAATGTGAAAAAGATTTTTTGAAATTATTGAAAATTTATTAAAAAATAAAAAAAGCTGAAAAATCGCATGTACATCAGTCAGGGCTCACCAATAAGGACTGCCCGATGGCCCGGGGCCAGTGTAAGAGATGCTCGGGACAGTAGATAGAATCGTTACTGGCCCAATCGGGTCACTAAATTAAATTTTGCCTGCTACTATTTGTCAATTGCGTGCAAATACAGTCTTAGAATTGAGAAAATAAAAATTTGTGCTTTTAAGTCTTTGAATGCTATCTTATCTGTGAAGTCGTAAACACCATATTGCTTTTCGTTTCCTCTTATCTGATTGGATGTTGTGAGCACGTTATTTTTTGCCATAACCTGGTAAAAACCAGTACAGCAAAGAGACGGCAACATGATGACAAAATCCAATTATAAGGCCGAAAGAAAACGTCTGTTTACATAGTTACAACACGACGGAAAAATGAAGTGATGTTTTGCATAGTTTGCCATCACTTTTAAGTCAGCCACCTTTTGTTTTGCAATAAAACACCTGCACATTTTCCACACTGCTATATTTTACTGCTAAATATTTTAATATATCTTTTTTTATATATTTAAATTCTAGATTAACAAACAATATGTTTGACACATTATTTAAATGTGGCTAAGAAATAGCAATTTACCTTTTTTTTTTTATTGGTGGGGCCAGTAAAAACTTTGGCAGGGCAAGTAAAAATCTGAACCACTGATCCAATCGGGCCAGTAATAATAATCCTTAACGTTGAACCCTGTAAGTATTCACAGCCTTTGCCGTGAAGCTTTAAATTGAGCTAAGGTACATTCTGTTTCCACTGATCATTCTTGAGATGTTTCAGCTTAATTGGAGTTCACCTGTAGTAAATTCAGTTGATTGGACATGATATGTAAAGGCATCCACCTGTCTATATAAGGTGACAGGGTTTACAGTGCATATCAAAGCACAAACCAAGCATGAAGACAAAGGAATTGTCTGTAGACCTCCAAGACAGGATTGTCTCCAGGCACAAGGCTGTGAAAGGTTACAGAAAAACTGATGCTGCTCTGAAAGATCCAATAAGCACAGTGGCCTCCATCATCCGTAAGTGGAAGATGTTTAATCCACCAGGACTCTTCCTAGAGCTGGCCGGCCATCTTTGCTGAGTGATTGGGGGAGAAGGGCCTTAGTCAAGGAGTTGATTAAGTCTGAGCTCTAGCATTCTTCTGTGAAGGAAGTAAAACGTAACAGAAGAACAACCATCTGTGCAGCAATCCACCAATCAGGCCTGTATGGTAGAGTGGCCAGACGGAAGCCACTCCCCACCTGGAATTTGCCAAAAGGCACCTGAAGGACTCTCTGAGAATAAAACTGAACTCTTTGGAGTGAATGCCAGGCGTTACGTTTGGAGAAAACCAGGCACCGCTCATCACCAAGCTAATACTAATACCATCCCTACAGTGAATCATGGTGGTGGCAGCATCATGCTATGGGGATGTTTTTCAACAGCATGAACTGGAAGACTAGTCAGGATAAAGGGAAAGATGAATGCAGCAATGTACAGAGACATCCTGAATGAAAACCTGCTTCAGAGGTCTCTTGACCTCAGACAGGGGCGACGGTTCATCTCCCAGCAGTACAATGACCCAAAGTACACTGCCAAAATATCAAGAGTGGCTTCACAACAACTCGATAAATGTACCCGAGTGGCCCAGCCAGAGCCCAGACCTAAATCCTATTGAACATCTCTGGAGAGATCTGAAAACGGCTGTATACCATCACTTCCCATCCAACCTGACAGAGCTGGAGAGGTACTGCGAAGAGGAATGGGCAAAGATTTCCAAAGACAGGTGTGCCAAGCTTGTGGCATCATATTCAAAAAGACTTGAGGCTGTAATTGCTGCCAAAGGTGCATCAACAAAGTATTGAGCAAAGGCTGCGAATACTGATGTACATGTGATTTCAGGTTTTTTAATTTTTAATAAATTTGCAACAATTCAAAAGAATCGTTTTTTCACATTGTCATTATGGGGTATTGTGTGTAGAACCTTGAGGAAATAAATTAATTTAATCCATTTTGGAATGAGGCTGTAACATAAACGATGTGGGAAAAGTAAAGAGCTATGAATACTTTCCAGATGCACTTTATTGAGAATAATGTTCTATATCAACATTCATAGACAAATTTAAAAAAAAATTAAGTCAATAGTTTTTTAGGAGAATGTTTTAAAAAAAATTCTTTTGTGTTGAACAGAAGAAAGAAACTCAAACCTGATTGTAACTAGAGATTCCTTTTTAGGTAAACTATCCCTTTAAGATGACATTCTGAAGACAACAGGAGATACAAATACAGACTGAATGAAAAGCACACATCCTAACACAAAGCTTCATATAAATATCTACATTCTTGCTGAATTCTGGAATTTGGTACTTAATCATAGTCGTACATTATGAGAACTGGTTCATTTAAAATTCATAAATTGTAAATGCAATGATTACCAGATATTAATAGCATATGCATAGACAAATATCTCAATATTCAATGATGCGTTTATTGTCATTTAACTGGTCTTATGTAAACTAGTTTATTCAACCTGCTGACTGATAGTGTTTCTGACCATTTAGCTGCTTTAATATGATCTTTCTATTACTGTAGGTTTAAGATGTCCATGTGATTTTCTGTGATTCTCTTCCGGTCCACAGATTTGTGCATTTCTATAGACCAATTACCAACCTACGTCACACATGACGTCACACGGGTCCCCGGTTGCAAAAAAAAAAAAAGACAGGCAGCAATAGTAAAGATGTCATGTAGGATGCTAAATTTGATTAGCTTTTACCGTACACCACACTGCTTTAATGCTAACTGCAAACTTCTTTGGCTAAAAGGAAGCTGAATGAAGTGACGACCTGATTAGAAAGGCTGGACTCTGCAGTTCTCATGTTATATGAGGTAAGTTCACTCTATGCTGAATCATACACATTACTCCTTTTTGATTGCAGAAACTTTTAGAGATTAAGATTTCTGCATAAACAGTTAAACAGGTTTAATTAAATTGCGGACACTGAATGCTAAAAACTAAACGTGAAAGTGTAAGTTATTGAGGTAAAGTTGGTTTTATGTTCATTCATTCATTCAGTGACAACTTGTGAAAAACTCTGTATATTGTTTACCACGACACTTTGAATATTCGGTCTGAAATAACCTGCAGGTGTGACTTGAAAACAACATTAACACTGACTGTGATCAGTGTTGTACTTTGATAGTCATTGGCTGCTAATATGATTTTGCTATTTAGAGTTTGCAAATAATACTTTTTTGAAATTATATTATTAAGGAGAAAGTCCAAATGTGCGAATATAAAACCAACTTTACCTCTATGTGTGCGTTCACATACCCTGCTGTACAGGTGCAGTTCGCTGTCAGAATGCAGTCGTTTAGTGTGTTGGTGATTAATTACCCAGGTTTGTACAGTTCCGTCTTCTTTCCTTGTCTTTGGCTAGGCAGAATCTCATTTTTTTAGCACTAAAGTGCATTATTTTTTGCACATGACCACACAGAACAAATCTGTTGGCAAGACTTGTAGACCTTTAACTTCTCTCTTGTAAAATCACTTGGATCTTCAATGAGAGTTGTATATTTCAGGCTGAATGCTTGGCCATTTCTTCTTATCCAAATCACTGTATGTATCACTGGGTGATGATCTGTTATAATACGCTGAAAGCATTATGTAAAAAATATATATAATGTGTGATTAATGTATCTTATTTCTAAGACAACACCAAACTCTGTACTGCATCGGATGTCATTCCCTCACTGTAAATGCTAGTCCTCCGGGTTTCTTTCTGCCTACCCCTGCGCACGCATGCTGAATGTTTACAAACATGGTAATTGGTCTATAGAAACAATATTAATGGATAAAATCTCAGTGGTCAGACGTCAGTAATAACTGTAATCACAACATTATGTGAAAGCTCCTACTGTCCCCAGAACAGTCCAGTCAGTCCAGTCAGTCCAGTCCAATAAATGCCTTACTATGAAATGCAAGTGATTACTTTAGTTTTGTGTTTGATTTCTATCAATTTACATAGTTTTGAATACAGATAAAATAAATAAAAATAAAATAAAAGAAAAATTATACAAATAAATTTATTCATTTATTTTATTTTCGGCTTAGTCCCTTTACTAATCTGGGGTCACCTCAGTGGAATGAACCGCTAACTTATCCAGCACATCCACAGCGGATCCCCTTCCAGCCGCAACCCAAAAAAAGTCTCAACAATTTCAGTTCAAGCTGGCTTTAAATGAGAAGTTGCTCTCTGCATTGGTTGAATAATGGAAAGCTCTTACCAATTTGCTTAGCAAAATCCAGAAGTTGACTTTTTTTACGGGCAATTCTGAAATTTGACGGTTTCAGAACTATCACAAACCATTTTGCGCAATTTTGTCATATCATTCATGTCTAGCACGCATGTCTATCCGGTTAACAACAGTGTCAAGTTGAGCGCAGATCAGCCGGCCACCAACTTCAACACTGTGACTTTATCTTCAATTCAATCAGGCACGTTCGCTCCCAAAGAAAAATGTCTGAAGTGCAACAAGCAATGTGATGATGTAGAACAAAAAGATTTGTCCATACGGTATAAAACTGAATGTCTGTCCACACAATGACATTTTTTGCATTGTAGTATTGTCGTGTTTCTTTCTTCAATTATTAGGATGAGATAACGTTGAGCTCTTGAGGTTTGGTCGGATTCACCATTGCTTTGGAGGCACAGAGGTTTAGAAAGAACCACGTAGTAGGTTTTGTGTTGCAAAGGTCTTCACATCAAGCATTCATTCAATGGGACAAACATCCAAGATGCAGAACTTGGCCCTGCAAGTAGGACATGGGACCCTGCTGCTCAGCCATGTCTCCGGCTGCTGCTGGTCCTGTCGACTGGCAAACCATTTGCCCATACATGTCAGACACCACATGGGGCGACAGTAACACTGCTGGCATTCGCCCTCATCGCTCTGGCAGAGACGCAGAAGCTTCACGTTGGCATTGACTTGCATGCATCCGATGCAAGGTTCAAGCTCCTAAGAGGAAAGCAAAGACTTTAAAACACCTCTCATTTGTAGAATCAAAAGGCACTTAAAATAGCAGGATTTATTCAAATCTGTGTTCTGAATACTTGAATTTAGCGTCGTTCAAATAGAGGTTAAAAAGAAGAAATATCATATGCAGAATAAATGACAATGTACAGATAAAACTTGTGCACAACCTTCAATTAGATACACAATATATAGAATATACAATAACAGGTCCAATTTCTCAATGCAGGTTATGAATCATCCATCAAGTAACAATGAATGATTTATGAATTCCCTTTTGTGCCCAACTTTATATTGAAGGCAGGGTTTCTGCAGATATCATAATGTCAAATTTAAAACTTTAAGACCTTTTAAAGACCATTAAGTATTAAATTTAAGACCTATACAATATCAAAAACACGCAAGAGAAAATGCAAAAAAAATAAATAAATCACAAAATTTGTGGTAAAATAAAATTATTTACATTGAACAATACTAAAGACAGGTTAAATGCACCATTGAACTACAGGAAAAAAACTATCTTATGCTTGATTTATATTTTCGCCTGGTGCTGCATCGCGCACCTCCGAGTGCACCTGACGAAACGGCAAGGTTTTTATACTTGACGCGTTCGCCAATTTTAAAATGACAGGGGGCGATCAGAAGAAAACCACTGTAAAGTCAGACAGATAAAGTGGGAGGTTTCCAGAACTACATCATATCATTAATATTGTTCAAGATTTTAAAACAAATTCTTTTTTATTTTATTTTTAGAATTAATTATAATGATTACAAAGTTGGGCAATGGGGTGGTGGGGTGTGTAGAATTTGCATTTAATTTTTATTATGGCAAGAATTAAAAGGAAAAAAAAAAATTCTTCTTTTTTTTTTATTTTGCCCACTCCACACTTTACACATTACTGTCTGGCTAGTTTGTCCTCTACTTATAAACTGAAAAGGCGATAATTGTCCAACAACCCTGTCCATTATCACCAAGAAACTGGGAAATCAGTATAATGTAACCCAATAGGTTCAAATATTATTTTCCAGCTATCAAAGGCATAATTTGTTATTTATGGCCTACTCACACTATGCTATCCGAACCGTGCCCAGGCCCGTTTCCCCCGTCATTTGGGAAGTGTGAATGCGCTAAAACAGGCTCAAGCGCGGTTCACTTGGGCTTTGGCGCGGTGCGCTTGTGTATGAGTCAAAACGCGCCTAAGCCCGAAACTGAAAGCAAGACGTGACTTTTAAGGGACTGTTTCACATGGATTTATTAATCATTCTTACCGTTCAATGAAGCAAACCCCTCACTGCACCACAGCAGTCGTACTGTTTCAGACAAAATCTCTTCAAAGTGTTTTATATTCAAATCACGATCTGTTCACGCTGCCAGCCGAAATCATGTTGCACGCACCGAAAGTGAACCTCCGCAAACATGCCAGAATCGCTGCGAGCACTGAGTTCAATAACAGAAAGCTGATTGGCTAATGCATGTTGGTTTCATTTGTAGTTGTAATACCGCAGATTACATTAGGACTAGTAAAATAAAGAACTAAAACACCCCTAAAACAAAGCAACAACATAGTTAAAAAGAAGTTAAATGAGCATTAGATGTAGCGGTACATGGACATCGGAAAAATAAGACCCGTGCAAAAATATTTAAGACATAGAACTGCAAATTTAAGACTTTTTAAGGCCTAAAATTATGGCCCAATCCCAATTCTACCTCACACTATGCTATCCGAACCCGTGCCCAGATTTGTTTGAGAAGCGTGAATGCTCTGAATCGGGCTCAGGCGCAGTTCAGTTGGCTTGCCCTGGTCTGATTGGAAGAGGTGTGCCACAGCGCAGTTCACTTGGGCTTTGGAGCGGTAGGCTTGTAGTGTGTGTAAAGCGTGCCTGGGCCCGAAACTGAAGACACCACGTCACTTTTAGGGGACTGTTTCATATGGATTTATTAGTCATTCGTACTGTTCAATGAATGTAAACTGTTGTAATTCATTACAGACACAAACCCCTCACTGCACGTCAGCTGCACCTCCTAATACCCTCAACACAAGAACTTTTATGTTCATTTATGAGTGTAAAAAGTGATAGATCTGTTCAGCAAAGTGTTTGACTGTGTGTCACTGCATTCCAAATGACTAAAAATAATACAAAACGATATAACTAAAGCAATGTACACTGTGCTGAGCGAGAGCGCTTCTCTTCCTGTTAAAATGAACAACCGCATCATCGATGATGTAAGTGTGCTCATGTCCGGTGGGTAAAAAATGCAATGCGAGTGCAGGCTGAGGGGGAGAAGGGATAGGGGACAATCGCGCTTTGGCACAGTTCAAAGCAATGTTATACTTGTATATACATATATGTTTATACATTATTTTAGGAGAGAACTGCAAAGTGTTTAGCATAGTCTTTATCATTACTTTAGTCTTACTAATATTCCAGAGGACTGTAAATGACTATAGAAGAAATTATCATTAGGATTTACTTTTACTGCTGATCCTCACATGCTTTGCCTTCAGTAGTTCATGTCTACAAAAAAAAAATGGCACACAGTATTGACAGTATTTTGCCAAGAATGTGCTGACAGTCCCTGAATGACTGAAGCATCTGAGCCTGCAAGAAAAAGTGTTTACTTGTTTTAGTGCTCACCTGGCCACTTGGACACTTGTAAACAACATTCATCCTCACATATGACTTAAAGGTCTCCAGAAAGAGCTCACTCATTGTCAGATGGATGACAACATTGGCAGCGTTTCTGATGGGTGCGTGCAGTTTCTCCTGCAGCTCGGCGTACTCTGTGGATTTCAGCCTGCAAACCAAAGTACAAAATCGCTTGAGTTACCATTTAAGATGTTTAAAAAAAGGTACATCCATTTCTTAAAGAGACAGTCACCCAAAAATGGAAATTCTGACTTATTAACTTAGCCTTACCTGACTTTATTTCTCTTATTGAACAGAAACGTAAAGATATTTGCAGAAAGCTGTAATTATTTACTTCAATAGTATTTGTTTTTTCTACTATGGAAGTCAAAGATTACAGGTTTACAAGTAAACAAACAAAGGGTGAATAAATAATGACAGAATTAAGAATCTGGGGTGAACTATCCCTTTAAACTTTTTTTCCAGAATACATTTAAAACATTGTTTTTAAACACATTGTGGGGGTTTTAAAAATAAATAAAACACAATATAAGGGTTTTGTAAAATGATAAGGAAAATAAATGAAAATAAAAAAATAAAATGAAAAGTAAATAAATGAAAACCAATAAAACCAAAACATAAAAGCGACACCAAACATGAACTTTAAATGTGAACTCACCTTATGTCAAAGGACTTGACTCTGGGATTGATACTACCAACAGTGATGGTGACGATTTGCACTGGTGTGTTTAAATCAGGTGATAGGCTGTGATGCTTGGAGTCTGTGACGGTCAAATGACAGTCCTGATGCAACGCAACATGCAAAGAATACGTCGTGACCTTCATCACCCAAGTATCAGTCACGATAACCCTTGCGCTTGGAGAACCGGAAGCAAATTTATCGATGCGCCGAAATTCTGTGTTGATTGAGGACGCGACAGCCCGCCAGCTGGACTGTGGTAAGGCATGTACGCTTAGTGCCTTACATATGGGGTGATTTGCCCATCCACGTCTGGACCAATAGAAAGCAAGGGCGCAGCTCAAAAGCTGGATGACCAGTGAAAGCCCAAAGTACATTTGCCATCCCTGACTTGCATGGTGAACGTACATGAGATTCTGTTCTGGGGCAGCAAAACACATTCCTATGTAGTATCCTGAAAAACACAGAAAAACACACCTAATGACCTAAAATCTACACAGAGCAATGCTGCTTTGAGAAAAGCTGAACTTTCAAATAAGGAAAAAACACAAACCATTATATGCCTGATTTATTTTAGAAATCGGACCACGAAAATGAAGCGAAACTATTTTTTCTTACAAAATCATTGTTAGCCTCATTTTTAAGTGCTAATGATGATGTTGAAGACATGATCTAGTAGCACATTTATTGAAAATAGACAATTACTGATTAGTAAACACCATCTACTTATAGGAAATATTTTATTTTTCCTTGTTTTACAGACCTGTTTTTTAGTCTGAAATGCATTTTAGTGAAATGCATTACTTAAGTGTCTTTTGAAATGCATTACTTATGTGACATATTTTGCACAATAGTAATATTTTTTCCAGACACATGTTTATAAAAGTTATGTCCTAACTGAATTATTCATAGTTTAATATGAACTCTGGACCCTGCATCTCAAATGTAAGAAACAGGGAAGGAAATATATATTATATTATTTGCTTATTGGTTGTATTATTTATGAATCAATCTTTGCATTAATGGTAAATGTTTTGTTGTTGTCGTTCAATTTTTAGTTTTTATGAGTTCAGAATGTATATTTAATTACTAAGTAGTGCATTTTCACTTTGGCTAATTATTGCTCACTGTCTTTCATTGCAGGGTTTTTACTTTTGGAATGTATTAAAACAAATAAAAAACTCCTAAAAAACATGGAATCTTTTATAGAATCTTCAATCTGTTTGCCCAATCAATAAAATATGTGTTAAACACTCCAGAAGGACGCAAAGTAGGAATCACTGATCCCTTTATTAAAAATAGTTTAATTCTTTACTTTTGAAGCTGCTAGTTGACAAAAACAGTGTTGTTTTAAAATGTCCAAGTCATTCAGAGATTTATTAAGTAAAAGAAATAAGGCTTTACTTTTCTGTTTTTTGATTGTAATTAATAAGCAACATAATCATTGGGGGTTTGCAATGGCAATACTCCACTATTTAGAGTAAATCATTCTGCTTATATATATATACATATATATATATATATACACATATATATATATATATATATATATATATATATATATACCTTTAATTTTCCATTTTCATAGCGTTTGTGCAATTTTTTGTTGGTTTTGTTTTATTAAAATTACACTTATATTTTTATATTTCTTTTTCTTTTATATTTCTATATTCGCTTATTTTTACACGTTTTACGAATTGTTACAAAACCAATAAAAAGGTTATCCACGTTTGAAGTTTGCACGTAATAAAAATGTAGCTCACCACCAGTTGAACTGGTTATGTGGGCGTAAAAAATAGAAGAGATATGAAAATACAGAAACTGATATTCAATGCTACACGTCTTTGGTACACCACCAAAAAAAAGTTTCGACAACTTTCTGCCTTTCACTTTATATCAAACTGCTGCACTGTTTTCAATCAGGTCTTACCCAGCGGCAGGAAGCTGTGAAAGAGCACTGTGAGTGTTGTTCTCCTGATGTGGTGTTGAATGAAGCTGATGTCCTCACTGCCCAGCCACTCCGAGAACATGTGCTGCACCGTGAAACCGGCCGAACGAAACTCGTTTGGTGTAAAAACAAAACATAAAGCAAATACAACATAAGCCAGAGTAAATGTTGCGTCCGGCCTGTCCATGTTTACATCAACACAAGCGTGAAGCCAGAAGCATGTATATAAGCAAAAGTAATCAGTTATTAACAACTAAAAGTTTCTCCTTTTTTCCAAACACACGTATTTATAAACATTTATTATGCGTTTATAAATAGGTTATAAACTATTTGACACCCTAAGCGGAATCCGAGTGTTTAAAGATATTAAATGCCAACAGTTGACGTGTCGATTGTGTTTTCAAAATAAAAGTCTCAGTCGCATGTCCCTGGTAAATGACACATTCATTAGAACATGTTGAAATGAAATAGACAGGGAAAGTATATTGATTATAGTATTTATTTGTACATGTTAAAGAAGGAACCATATAATATATTCTGCTGAGCAAAAAATTATTAATATTTAACGCAACGAACTGAGAAACAAGATCAGCACTAATTTATTATAATGTAACGTCAGGGCTTGCTTTTGTCATAGGGAGGCAATGTTTATGAATAACGTTATTTTGACTGAGCATGTTATACCGCGTTAAAAGAGTGGGCGTCCATATGGATCAGACGTAGCTAACGTTAATCCTTGTGCTAAATTATCCAAACGAGGGTCCTGTTATTGGTCTAATAATATCAGTGCAAAAGTAATGTTTATTATCATCTATTGACGCATATATACGCAAGTATAAGAGGCATTTGCGGGTTCCGGGCACTGAACAGCATATTATACGTGTAGGATTATCTGTTCGTCTCATGTGTGCGCCATAATCCGATTGCCTTCAGAAGGTTGGGACAAAATTTGACTGACATGCTTGCCAACCTATGAGGCTGCAACATTAAAGCGTACACCCAATAAGAGAGGGTCACGGGGCGGGACGCAGCCTTGTGATTGGCTGTGATCTTAAATGCGCAGTCCCAGGAGCACGCGTTCTGAACATTACCAGAATCCGAATCAAACAACAGGACAACGAGGGTTAGTCTGAATTTTACCTAGTTTGGAAACCTTATTCTGAATGTCCCACAACTTTAACGAAATAATTTGTATATAAGTAATTGTAGCTTCAGTGAGACCCAGGCAGAGATGTCAAGCAATCAAAGAAGACCACATTTCTGGAGCGAAGAGGAGACAGATTTCCTTTTGCAAACTTTAAAAGAGATGAACATAGACCGCTACAAGGACGGCCGGAAGCACCGCAACAGCCTAGTCTTCAGGAAGGTTTGCGCCAAGCACAGGGAGGCAGGATTTGCGCGCTCATGTGATCAAGTCAAACACCGCTGGAAAACCCTCAAATCTATTTACTATAAGGTCAAGAAACGCAACTATAACAATAACAATGGGGAGTTTAAACATTATGATACGATGGAAGAAATTTTTGGGCACAGACCTTCGGTTATTACCAATCAAATTGAAGTTGACGTCGATGATAAAGACGGATCCCCCTTATCAGACAGCGAATGCTTCTTTTTTGAGGATGGTGAATGTGAGGATGGTGAGTGGCACACAACCGATAATCTTTCACCTTTAAGTTTCTTAATAATACATGAACACTTTTTAAACAGATTAAACAGACATGAGGAAGTGGACCACACTGCATTTTAGGAGGAAAATATAAAAGCCTATTAAGAAACATTTTGAAAAGTATTTTTAAACATTTATTTATAACAATAACCAGAAGTTTTTTAGGTAGTAAGTTTAATAATATTATAGCATTTTTCTATAGTCAAAGTAGTACATTAGTCATCAGGATTTAACCAATAAGCGAGGTAAGCAGCCGTTTAGGGCCCCATGAATCTCTAGGACCCCCAATTTAAATCTAGAAGTATACATTATACCTATAAACTATATATAACATAGATTTATACCATATTTTGTCATGGTGAGAGACAAACAAATACAATTTTAACATAATTAAATATTATTTAGTATAAAATCAAATATAATATTATTATAATAAAGTATTGTTATGTAATAATAATATTACCAAATAATATATTTATCATGGAGCAGTGCAGCTGTCAAATTGTAAATTCATTTTAAGAAAACTAATCACTTAAAATGTAGAGATTGCATTAATTTAAAACGTTGAAAAGATGATTGTGATATAAACAAAATCAGCATTATGAATAGAAACTTATAAAAAATTAGAGTGTGTTGACGCCAAGGCTGGAATTGCTTAGGGCCCCAAAATCACCAGATCTGCCCCTTATATGGGACAGTTTATTTAATTTATGGTTTTAAAGAGATAGTTCACACAGAAATTACAAATCTATCGTTTACTCGACCTCCATTTGTTTTAAATATGTTTGAGTTTCTTTTTTCTGTTGGAGCCAAAAGAACCTTCAGTAGTCAACATTTGAAGTGGATCATCACCTTTTCTCAAAGTTGTCCTTACTTAACAGCACCCATTATTGTCTTAGGACAATTTTGAAAACATTTTTTGATTCCCTTTAAATGTTACTATGTTAATATATATATTCCAGGTGGGCCAAAAATAGTATATATATATATATATATATATATATATATATATATATATATATATATATATATATATATATATATACACACACACACACACAATTTAAGTCAGAATTATTAGCCCCCTTCGAATTTTTTTCTTCTTTTTTAAATATTTCCCAAATGATGTGTAATAGAGCAAGGACATTTTCACAGTATGTCTGATAATATTTTTTCTTTCTTAATTGTTTTGTTTCGGCTAGAATAAAAGCAGTTTAAAATTTTTTAAAAGCCATTTTAGGGAGAAAATTATTAGCCCCTTTAAGCGTTTTTTTTTTCTTGATAATCTACAGAACAATCTACTGTTATACCATAACTTGCCGAATTACCTTAACCTAGTTAAACCTTTAAATATCACTTTAAGCTGTATAGAAGTGTCTTGAAAAATATCTAGTAAAACATTTTTACTGTCATTATAGCAAAGATAAAATAAATCAGTTATTAGAAATGAGTTATTAAAACTATTATATTTAGAAATGTGTTGAAAAAAATATTCTCCCAGTTAAACAGAAATTGGGGGAAAAAATAAACAAGCGGTCTAATAATTAGGGGGGGCTAATAATTCTGACTTCAACTGCATATATATATATATATATCAAGACAAAACATGATTCTATAGTTGCAGGTACATTTAGTGACCAAAGCCATTCTTTTTTCACCTTTTAAAAATTTTTTTTTTCATCGTATATATTTATTTTTGATTATAAATTTCCATAGATCACAAGATGTTACATGCCATAACAATTTCAAATCACTTTTATTGTCACATCATCAGCAGCACGTGTTCTATGATGAGTGAAAAGCTTAGGTACTGGCAACAGACAGTACAAAATACAGATAGTGCAAATAAATCTCATTCATTCATTTTCTTTTTGGCATAGTCCTATCATTAATCTGCGGTCGACACTGCGGAATGAACTGCCAACTTATCCAGCATGTTTTTAAGTAGCAGATGCCCTTCCAGCCCAACCCATCTCTGGGAAACAACCTTTCACACTCATACACTACAGACAATTTAGCTTACCCAATTCACATGTACCACATGTCTTTGGACTTGTGGGGGAAACTGAAGCATTATTTTTATTTATTTTGTTATTATTATTTCTTTTTTTGAGTGCAACAAAAGAAAAAAATATATTTTTAAAAAGTTTAGAACCACTTCAGTTTGAGGAAATTTTCAATTTATGAGTGAGCGATACTTTTAAGTTTATACAAGAACATGAAATAGTATGGTGCAATAAACGTAAGGGTACACATCCAGAAAAGGGATAAAGTAATAGATGCAGTATGTAGCTAGAATATCTTTTGCGGATTTCTGATCTTTACATGCTTTTGTGTTTTAAAGATGATGGAGTGGAAGACTCAAAAGGTGGAATTCAGGAAATCCAGTCAGTGAAAATTGAGAGCGAACCCCTCATCCTCACACAACCCTCAAATGAGAGCTCCACCTCTACAGAAAGCTACACACCAGCCCAGCCAATCACCTTTACAGAGAGCATCAATTCTGCACAGCCGTCCACTTCCCAGCAGCCTTTGGTTCAAGGTGTGATGAATAGTTCTCCTAGATTAGCTTTAAATGCAGCAGGTCTGGAAAGTAATCAGACCCCTTAAATTTTATTCACTCTTTTATTATATTGCAGCCATTTGCTAAATCATTTAAGCTAATTTTTTTTTTTTTAACTTATTATGTACACACTGCCTCCCATATTGACAGAAAAACACAGAATTGTTGACATTTTTGCAGATTTATTAAAATGTAAAACTGAAGTGTCTGAGAAGGTCTTTAAAAAGTCTGAAAAAGGTATTGAATTTACCTTTAGGATTCCTGCATATACCCTGATCATTATAAAACTTAGGAATTGTGGAAACGTTTGCCATGGCCTCGCTCTTTGATTCTTACAAACTTATCCCTCAAGTTTTTCCAAACTTTTACAAAAACATTCCTCCTTTCCCACGGCTGTTGCAATTTTTAGCCAATAATTATTGTCTATCTGTTTATTTCTTTTATCATGCAAGGACGGATCATAAAGATGTCTTTACAGGCGTGCCTGTTTCTAACAAAATCTTTTCTAAGCGATTCATATTCATATCAAATGCGGTTGCGCGCAAACTGTTCGCTCAACTCTCAAAAAATTGTGCGCTCCGATAGCTGAAATCATGTAGCACGCACCCAAAGCGAACCTCCTCAAACACAGCAATGACGTTCACCTCGTGCACTCAAGCGAATGAGTATAAACCAGGCTTAACAGTGCAAAAGTATAGTTTGGCCATTTACAATTTTGCAAACTTTACCTTTTATCATCAGGAAGGTCTGTAAAAAATGTAAATGGATATATTTTTAAAGCTTTGTAGACACAACTGTGAGGAGAAAACAAGGTTTAGCTCTGGTGCTGGGTTTCAAATCCCCAGGTAAACAGTTGTGCTAATAGCCAAATTGCAAGTATTGACTTTATTCTTCACGAATGCGCAGGAGCAACCATTGGAATCTATTTGGCTCGAGACTTTCGGTCTTATTCGCGGTCATTGATTTTTAGGCATTAAAAACAGCTTGTTATGCTCCTCATATAGCAAACTGATATTTTCCTATTATATTATTCTACTCTTCATGTGTAGTTATGAGCACACTTGTTTGTAGAGCAAGTAATTTGACCCATTTATTATTCTGAGCCATTTCTCCCATTGGCGACTGAACCAAAAGTTTTAAACAATTGCAATAACAAGCAAACTTCCGCATTAAAGAACTTCAATAAAACATATTGTGATTGTGTATTGCAAGTAATTTTACTGTGGTTCTTGTTTCCCAGGTTTGTTCAAGCCCAAAAGGCCTTGTTGTGTTGCGATGCATACCCAGTATCAGGACTTTCTAGAAAGAATGCAGCAGGCACAGAACACATGGCTGGAGCATCAGCTGGAACAGAGTCATGCGAGAGAGGAACGCCTTATTTCTCGAGTACTCACTGAACATACACGTTCTATGGAGACCTTAGTCAACCAGCTTTTTGCAGGGTTGAAAAGCCTCCTGCCATCTCAGTCCAATTCAAACCCCCAGCCTGTATTTACAGCACCAGAGATCCTCCATACACCACCTCAACCTCATGCCAACCCTGCAGAGCCGACAACAAACATCTCCTGTCATCCAGAAGAGCATTCAGGTGGCCAAATGTCAGAAGCTGTAAAGCAGCCTTCAGAGTGATTCAAGACTCTCTAAACATGGAATGTTACGTTATAGTTTTTCTCAGTCGCTTTTGGCACATTTCTCAGGTCAGAATTGAAATTCTCAAAACTACTGTGTCGAGTTTCTTCACCCTCAATTTTTGGCCGATTCATATTCTTTATTTTATCAGATTTATATGTTCACTCCAGGATCTATATGTGCATGAATGAAATGCGATTGTGACATGATAACAGTGTAGTTTCCAATTGCTGAAGGTTCACGCCGTTCCATTTAAACCTATTCAGATGTTCCACCAGGAGTGATAAACACTTGTGTAACATATTCAGTGACGTACATCGGAGGAAACAAAACAGAGGGAATTTAAAAGCGGGAACTGGCAGACGTGCAACAACTTTAATAATAAGGTAAACATAAAACAAAAGTCTTAATCAAGAGCTTTTCAGATTACACTAGTAAACAATCGCTCCATCAGGCTCGTGGCTCTCAACACCGTCCACACTAGTCACAGCTACCAAGCTAATGACAGAGCTTGCATTGTCGTTTTGACATGTAGTTAAATTTTTTTGAGAGGTGCGTATCGTCATTAACCACAGCAAGGGCAAAACAAAATTGTATCTTTTTAAAGATGCAGTTTTCGTGTTGCAGTGTGGACTGTTAAAATGGAGGCTTTTGTAAATGATGACGCATTTTAGTCATGTGATTTAATCATGTGACCAATTTAGCTAACATGGTGCACTACATTTTATAGCAGATGATTTAAGCGCTGTCCATTTTGACAGCTTTATTTGAGATATATGTCAACTTGTACATGCTTCATATTGCCTCTTCATAGAACATGAAATGTTTACGGGGAGCTGTTGTTCAGTGGCAGAAGCAGACCACAGTAGCGATTTTGAGCAGTGTTTCAAAATGTGCTGGTAAATGCACCATTGTGTGTGCGCAGTATATGAATGAAAGTGTTTTCAGTCATTTTAGAGTGGATGACAGGATGAACTGAAAACAATTGTTTGGACATGAAGCGTTTTTTACACGATAATGCAGTTTTTATATTTAACTGGCTTAGTACTTACTTTCTTTCCCTTGTTCCCTTGGGGGAATCCCAGCCACCATATTAAAATGCCTTCTACTTTGTCAAGTAAATGGGCGAAGTGTACATGGACATATCCTTCATCCCTTGATTTAAAAAAAAAAAATTGACAACGATATCATATTCTTTAATTTGTCAGCTTCATTTGTCCACTCCAGCACCTATATGTACCTAAATGCAATCGAATGGTAACATTATAACAGTGTAGTTTCCAAGTGCTGAAGGGGTTAGGGCGTTCCATTTAAACCCATTCTAGTAGTGTTCCACCAGCAGCGATAAACACTTGTGTAACATAATCAATGACATACATTGGAGGGAACAAGACACAGGGAAGGGTGAAAAAAAAAAAACTGCGTTTACATGCAGAGTGGTTGAACAAGTTGTCATAATGTCTAGCACATTTCTATACCTTTCCATTTAGCCTTTTTTTTCCTATAATGTCCTACTACTGTCTTAAGTTCACATTTATACTTTTACTTAGTTTTTTTTGTGCTATCCAGTGTCACCTATTCTTTTCTGTATCTCAATGTCTGTATTTTACGGTGACTAGGAATGGGCCAGTATAAGATTCTGACAGTATGATAACCTTGGATATCCCGGTTTCACGGTATCACGGTATTGTCATTACTGCTCTAAAATATATTCTTTTTAAATGTCTGGGTAAAAACAAAACACTTTTCCCCCCTTTGAAAACATTATATTATATTTTTTGAAAAATGTGTAATATTTTAGAGCAGTAAACATGTCAGGCTAAATAATTCAAATGAATTATTGATTTCTGCTGTCTTCATTCATTTCAATTTCTTTACAATTTAAAACGGCATCTGTGGATATTTTTTCTGCTAAAGAGTTGTCATAAAAAAAAGTAAATAAAAAAAATCTTACACGTACCTTATGAACGGTATTGCAGTAAATTTTGGCGGTTTTAAAACCTTGACTTTTCAAAACCACAATATACCTTGAAAATTGTTATCGCCCCATCCATGCCTAACAGTGACCAAGAGAGCTTAACAAGTTGCAATTTAAGAAAGCACATGCAATTATAAAAAACAGGCAAACAAAGAAACGATCTTTATCAATTTGACAGCACACATGTTGCAAATTCCCAAAACACGAACGACTGAAGAAATGCGCTGCAAATTGGTCACAACACAAACAACTGATGAAACGCGCTGCCTGCAATAAGTCACAACACTTGCAAATATCCACAACGGAAATGTTTCAGTGGGTACCGAAACCATGACGGGCCCTGCTGAGAGGTGGATGTTATTATTTTGTGTAATAAGGATATTAAAATAAACGAAAAACAATTCGCCTTTCAAAGGCACTTCACTGAGCAACATTCATGACATAACACATCCAGCAGGGTCCCTCATGGTTTTGGGTCCCCTTGAAACATTTCCGTTGTGTAACATGGATGTTTGCAAGTGTCTTGACTAGTTGCAGTGCGTTTCTTAAGTTGTTTGTGTTGTGACCAATTGCAGCGCTTCAGTTGTTTGTGTTGTGAGAATTTGCAGCATGTGAGCTGTCAAATTGATGAAGATTGTTTCTTTATTTGCTGCTGTTTTTCATTGGTAATTGCATGTGCTTTCTTAAACTGCACGATAAGCTCTTTCAGCCATTGTAGTGTTGCAATGTCAGAAGAAAAAAAAATAACATGGTCTGTTGACAAACAGTAAAAGCATTAATGTTGTCAAGTCTCTCGTAATCAAACTCCCACATACACTAATATCCAACAATTTGCAGTAGCTGTCATCAAAGAACATCCAGACAAAAGTGTAAACTTATATTGACAACATGACTGCGCTTATAGGGCGGATCAGCAATGCTCATTCATACACAACTGCTTGTCATTCTTATGTTCATATGTGAGAGATGTCCTAAGGATTTTGTATGTAATCCATGGTGTTTTGCTGTTTGTATGAGTTGTTTTAAGAAATACACTTACTGTTTTGTACATGTCAAGAATGATTTGAGAAATGTACCGAAACGACTGTAATAGGAAACTGTAATAGTAATGTACTGTTAGTCATCTTGTGTGTTTTCTAACGTTTTATGTGACATTTATGACAACATATTTTCCAAGCCTGCAAAAGCAAACTAGTTTCAAAGTGCGTTTGTGTTTTTGAAAATCGTACCATAGTTCTCTTTATGTAAACTGCTCAACTGTGTGAAAAATGTCTTGTGTATAGTATACTGTATGAGCGCACAATCTTGACCACATAAACAACAATGGCGAACTACAGGAACATATTGTCACAGGCATACAGTTTATGTATGTCAATTATTAAACCTCCTGTTAAATTTTGATTCTCATAAATTTCCCAAGTGCTGTTTAATAGGATTTTTTTAACAATAATTCTAATAACTAATTTCTTTTGTCTTTGCCATGATGACAGAGCATAATATATTACTAGTTATTTTGCAAGATACTAGTATTCATCTTAAAATGCAACTCAAAGGTTAGGTTGTTTAGCTGAGTCATTGGATAACAGTGGTTTGTTCTGTAGCCATGCATTCGAGAGAGAGAAATCTTAAAGTGGCTGATAATATTGATCAGGGTACCCAAAAAAACAGGGTATCCAGTGGTCTTAAAATGTCTTAACTCTCAAACGCTAACTAAAAAGTGTTAAATCTACTAAAATATTGTGTTGCAAGTCTTTAAACTGGTCTTTTTTTTTCATTGTTCATGTAGCTGCCCAATTATGGCTATTAAGACTTATAAAACAATCCAGCTCAATAAAATTTTTATATAAAAATATCATTTTTAACTCTATTTACCATAATGTTTTAATTACTTTCCTTACAGTAACATTTTCTTTAACTTTCTCCATTTATTTACTGCTGAGGATACTGACATGACCCATTTTTTATTATTAATTTACTATTATTGCATTATTAAATTTTAATAATTTTTGGATAGGGCAAGTGGACGTCTTTTCAAACTGGGATATTAAAAACAAAAGCATTAGCATTTCGCTCTGTATAAGTTTAAAATTTTATAATGGTCTTAAAAAGGTCTTAAACTTAACTCGGTGAAACCTGCAGAAACCCTGGTAAAAACGTCAGTCAAATCAAAATAAATCATGCAGTCATCATTTTAGTTTTTGTTTCGCAGATCAGTGTGAATATGGATCATTTAGACAGCATTATCATCTGTATGCCAACTGTTGCAAAACTCTAAGGAAAAAGCATTTTCATGTTTGGTATATCAGTATTGTGTAAATATGGAATTGAAAAGTCGGTCAAATTTAGCAATAAAGTAGCAATCAAGCTGTTATTTAGTATAAAAATCTGTTTTATTTTACTTGGGTTATTGTTATTGGCATACATTATCTTGTCGGTTGTGAATGTTTGATACACCCCAACCCGCCAAATTGCTTTTTTATAAATTGGTTCTAATAAATATATGAGACTGGTGTAATTCATCAGAATCCATCTTATGTTTGTAAAATATGTATATGTAAAATATGTTCAAATTAGTCATCTATTTTTAAAGAACACTATTATTAGATTTATTCATTTTGATAGCTTGATGTATAATATGATTCTTATATATTTTAGGCTGTAACAAAATGTGTTTAATAAAATGTAATAATAATTAATTTAATTCAGCTTTATTTGTATTGCGCTTTTACAATGTAGATTGTGTCAAATCAGCTTCACATAAATGGTCATAGTAATTGGAACTGAGTAGTTCAGTTTTTAGTGTTTCAGTTCAGTTTAGCTCAGTTCAGTGTGGTTTAAAATTAATTAGTAAGGTGTCTGGTGACTATAATCATTACCGATATAGATATTGTAAGTGGCATTTTTGTGCTGAAAGACATTGTAGGAGGTAGGGTTGGTTCACCCCAAATGAAAATGCAATCACCATTTTCTGATTCCAAAACTGTTTAAACCTTGTCTTTAAAACAAAAGAAGATATTTCGAAAAATGTTGGTATTTTTTCATGTGTTGCCCAAGTAGCAGATTGTATGTAAAATTAGCAGATAAAAAAAACAGGCTCTGAATTGTTATTTTTGCAGGAATACCTGTTGTTCAGGGAGAGGTGTGAATGGTCTAGAATGTGAACCTGTAAGTGCTCTGTGGGCTCTGGGGGGTTGGTCTTTTACCATGATAAAAAGAGAGCATAATAGGCCAGTCGGACAGTATTGTTTAAATATAATGGAATTTTGATTAGCATTAGCATTGAAATGACAATACTTTGATGGATAATACTTAGGATGATAGGATTATTTATTTTAGTCTATCTGTTCTCATTCTACCAGTTTACTTTATGTGTATTATTTAAATATGGATATCCAGGTAAGGAGGTTTCAGATGAGAAGAGCGAGGAAAGCAGGAAGGAAACGTAAACAAAAAGGTCAGACGACGACGGGATGAATGGGCTGCTTCAATGGTGACAACTGGCCTGGTATGGATGCAGACTTATATGTAGGCTAAGACTGCATATTTAAATCATATAGTTTTTACAGTGAAATGTCATACGTTTTAGGACCGTGTTTCTGCTCGAAGTTTGGTTTAATATAATTTTCTGGACAACCTGGCCCTAAGTCCAGCCCACTGGCCTACTTAGTACATTACTGGCAAACTGGTTTCAGGATACATAAAAAACATATTTAAAAAGTTACAAAATAAAGGTCTGGATTCTACATATATTATTGCGGTCAGATTGCGTTATGTTGCATTACTGCGTTAGATCTTGGTGTTTTGTAATTAAGCTTTTAATATGGAGTGATTCCGGTTACCTCCCACCCACCTCCACCCCCACAAACTACACCACTGATCATTACATCTGGTAGGTAGTAATTAATCAAAATTATCCTGCAATATCAAACATAAAGGAACGTAATGATCAATAAATGAGCAGTTTTATTTGGTTTAAATGTTTATTTTATTTATTTAAGCTAATTTATGCATGTCGAATTCACGTATTTGATTCTTATGCAGCTGCAATTCGAATGACGTCGAGATTCCTGGAACGCGTTCAACGTTCGAGCAGTTCGGAGTGTTTCTTCAAGCTGAGCGGCCATTTCTACAGTACGATTTATCTGTGCGGCTGAGGTAAGGAAATGAGAGCTTATCTGTTGACTTTATATGTATTTTAATGTTTACGACGTTGTATATTACATATTTAATTAATTTTATTTGAAGACTCAAGAAAACAGGTAAAAATAACGAACATGTTTGTTCAGTCGTTTTGAATATTACTGCTAACGTTAACTGTTGGTCAAGCTAAACTTTTCGGTTGTGTTTCCTTTATTTAGCCAGCTTTACAGATCCCACCATTGTAATCACACAGGACGTCTTACCAGGGAGAATGGACCAGGGAGTCCCCGTATCCTTTAAATCACACTGGGCCTCAAGCCCTTTTTACCACAGCTCAGCCTGGTTGAGTCTCTTTGACAGAAAACAGGCTGCTGTCATGTTTCACCATAGATTTAGCATTGTAGATCAGTAGTAATATGCTAATTATTTTATCACCATCTTCTTGCTATCTAATGGTGTGTTGGAACTGTTATATACATTTTGTTGCCTAAAATAATATAGTCATAACTTTGCTGAATGTGCCAGCTAGAAGAGAATGAGCTGTCCCTGTTGAGTATGGTTCCTTTCAAACTTTCTTCCACAAGAACTTTTTCCTTGCCACTGTCGCTTTGGCTGGCTCACTGGGGGTTTGAAGGCACTCTCAAATTGTTGATGAGTATTTGCATTTTATGGCATTTTATTTATATCATGTTACTTGTCTGAGTGTGGCAAGCCGTTTTGACCTGTATTCATACTCAGAATATTTATTCTTTATATTTCCAATTCAATTATTGGTATCAGCATTCTTGATAGCAACAATCAAATTCATGAAATTAAAAATAAATTATTGATATAAAATACATTTCTTGATATCAATAATTAAATTTCCGATTTCAGTAATTAAGTTATTGATAACAACAGTTGTATTTTTTATTAGTTAAATGTCACCATAAGCTGCCATTAAAATTGTACTCTTGATAACAAGAATCTTTTCTTACTAGTCGAAATGTACTTTCTTTTCTTGAAATGTAATTAATATATATGATTTTTTAACTAGTACCAATTCAATACATTTATTTCTTATATTCAAAAATAATTTGTTGATATCAGGAATTATTATGTTGATATGAGGAATAGGGTATATGCAGAACTAGTGTTTCTTCCCATACTGATAAACTTCCGGTGAACAGTTAATGTGACTTTTTTCTAATTTTTACGGTTCCTTTTACAGCATCAATGTTGTAATGCAGGGTTTTTCAAAGTCTAAGACAGTGGGCCTCCCTTTTGACACAACTTATATATAATATATATAACTTATATATACAATATATATATATACAGTATATATAAAGACACAGACAGATGTCAGACTGTTAACTCACTTTTATCATCATTTGCATGAAAGTGCAATTATTTACAGAGTAATAACAAGTATTTTAATATAACATTTTTAAAACTAGGATGATGGTTCAATATGAATATAACAGATCCAAGAACTGTCCATCCCAGTCAAAACAGTCGAAGTTTTGCGGGTCTCATGCTGGCATTAGCCAAAATATTTCGACAAACCACACATAAAGGTCGTGGTTCATCAGCTGGTCCTGTCTACGTAAATCCGGGGGGGTCGGGGGTCTCAGAAACCGACCCATTGTATTAGCAGGCATATACCTGTATTGGCGGGCTTGCCAAACAGAAGCGAATTCACAGCTATGGCCTTCTGGGTAAAAAGGTTTTCTTATATTTGACGTATTATTTTTTTGCTTTGTTTAATTAAAACGTTTAAATATAATAAAAAATACATATAATAATTAAACTTAATAATTATATTTTTATTATATTATATTTTTTCCCGCGCCTCCCCTGACATGCTCTGGCGCCCCCCAGGGGAGGCGCGCCTCACACTTTGAAAACCCCTGTTGTAATGTAATTAAAATACAATCAGTTAAATAGACTTTGGCATTCATTTAGTTGCTCAAGCGCAAAACGAGACAAAAAGCCTTTTACTTGCACGCAGCCTTCAGAATTAGCAGGCAGACGCTCTATTGAATATAATGAGGTAAAATAAACGTTCATATTTTAAAGACATGGTGGGGAAAATGTAATTCAATGCAGTGTTTCATGTACATTCTGAGGCCCACTTTATATGGGATATCAGTTAAGCAGTTTAGATTGCTGATTTGTAAAGAAAACAGACCCTAAACACACTGATTTAGTAACTGAATACAGTTCACCAGGAGCGCTTGACCCAGGTAACTGACAAATTAAAAGTCCTTCCGCGTATTTCCGCATATACCCTATTAAGTAGCTGAAGGGCAGGCCAAACACAGCCAATGCCCTCTGGTCCCAGTTCATCTTCATTTGTAACTACCGTCGCCAGCGTCACCACCCCCCGGCTCTCTCCATTGTTTCAGCAGGTTCAGATTTTAATTATGATGCGCCCCACTCCTGTCCAACCGCAACACTTTATCGAGAACCCCAATTCGCTGTGTGACCACAAATAGCCCTTGCCACTTGGCGAGTAATTTAGAGCTGCATGAGAAAAGCAATACAAGCTTTCTATCTCCCTGCGTGAATTTACGCAATTTAAATACCCTGTCATATTGTCAGCGT